ACCTGCCTGAATGTGACAAGGAAGGACATTCGTTAGATCCCCCAAACCACTGCCAGAAGCCAGTCTCAGAGTTCTGGGCTGGGGCTGCCTTTCTGGGTATACCACCTGGGTCATGAGGCCTGGAAGATTACCTTGATGGCCACATCAATTTGGCAGAAACAAAAAGGCACTGAGACATCAGGCAAGCTGCTATTAGTGTCTGTGTTTGTGATCTTCTGGCACTTACAGCCCACACTGGCTGGCTTTCTAGTTTGCTCTGGCACTCAGGCCTGGCATTTCAGAAAGTTCTGGCAGCAGGTCCTACAAAATAGTAACTTTAAAAATTGTGGAGAAGGTTAATGTCACACTGGCAAGGCTCACCTGGGGCCACCTCCATCTGTCGGCCCCTCTTTTTATGGCTCTCCATTTTACTTTCTCTTTAGTGGTCAGACCCTCTGTTGTACTTTCCGTGTCCTCACTGGGGAGAGGCCTGTGGATGGTCTTCCACTGTCTCCTGGTTTATGACTCCCTCCTCCATACAGTTTGACTGCTGGGCAAGACAGCTGAAGTAATTCCCATAAGGGCTGTCAACTAAGACTGGAGTGGAGAGGGAATGGTTTCAAATGCAGTGTATGTACCACACTCTCTACCACAGAAGGGTAGAGGGGCCTGGGCAGAACATGAGATGTTTATAATGGGGCAGCAGGAGTGATCTCAGGTCTTCTTCTGCAGCCCAAGGCAGACTGAACAGAGACAGTTGTACCATATAGGGCTTTTCCTGTTACCCTCTTGGCTTTGGCTGCAGTTCCATTGTTGTAAGCAACAGAAACAAAGTATGTTAAGTTTTAAAAAAGGAATTTGCTGAAAGAGTACAGGGTAGCTCACAAAGTAGAGGTTGATTAGCTTACTCTTAGAAAGGGCAGAAAAAGGAAAGGTCTTGGGATCAAGGTAACAAGGCATAGGCACATATTAATCCCTTCAGAACAATTCTGTGCCAGTTTCAAAATGTACACTGGTGAATCTGATTGACTATCTTTGGATCAAGTGACCTAAACAAACCCAAATAGATTGGCCTACTTTGATTGACTGGGAGCTCACTTGTGAAAGAAACAGTAATGAGGAGATTCACCAGGACCTCACAGAGCACAGGGGGAGGGCTTGTCCTCAAAGGGAAATAAGGGCTCTACCAGGAGAAAGTTGGCAAAATACTGAGTGGCCCAAAGCAACAGAAGTCCATCACTCAAACCCATAGAATCCCTTTCTCTTCACTCCCGCATTTGCTCTAACTTGTCACCAAACGGGTTTTGCTGTGAGAAAATGGTGGAGGAGGTAAGGGAGTCAAGGACAGGAGAGGACCCCATTACTGCTGGCAAGCCCAACAGACCTTGACAGGGGAGTCCTGGAACTGTTTCTACTTCCTTGAAAACCTGAATAAAAGTTCATCATCCAAGCCAGAAACCGGGGAGAAACCTAGACACCTCCATTTTCTTTCTTCTTCCTCCCAAATGAAACTGCGTACCAAGTTCTTTGACTTTATCCCCTGAACATTTCTCATCTCTACACAATCCTTCAGGCCTCCAGCCTCTCATCTGCCCACAGCCAGAGCCTCCTAATCTATCACCTTGCCTCAAGGATGTTTCCTCCAATACTCTCTCATGATGCAGCCAGAGAGATCTCTTGCAAAGCCAAATCTGATCAGGTCTCTCCCTCTCAGGGGATTCCATTGCATTCAGGAAAGACTTGGCACACACACAGGGCCCCTTGATTAGTCTCCAGCTTACTTCTTCAGACTTCTTGCAAGTTTTTCCTTTCTTTACAACTTTCACATGAAGTTTCTTGAAGCACTATTAGTGCTGGCTAATTGTTTGCATTGAAGAGGTGGATAAAAGAGCTATCTTCCCACACTGCCTAGATTTTAAGGGACTTAATTGTGTCCCTTGAAATTCATATGCTGAAGCCTCAATCCCGTTCGACTGTATTTGAAGAAAGGGCCTATAGGGAGGTAATAAAGGTTAAGTAAGATCATAACGGTAGGACTCTAAAATAGTAAGACTGGTGTCCTTAAAAGATGAAGGGGACCAGAACTCTGTCACGTGAGAACACAATGAGAAGGAGGCAGTCTGCAAGCCCAGAAGAGAGCTCTCAACAGAAATCGACCCTGCCAGACTTTGATCTGAGACTTCTAGTCTCCAGAATTATGAGGAAGAAATTGCTGTTATTTAAGTCACCCAGTCTGTGAGATTTTGTCATGGCAGCCAGAGCTAAGAGAAAGGGCAAACTGTGAAAGAATCCACATGAAACTTGACATCTCTTTGAAGTCTTTCTTTTTGTTTTTTTAGAAGAAGTTTGGTATTTTTGCATTCTGTCTCAAGTAGTCTTATTTGCTTAGATATACATATATTGGTTTAAATCACGTGCAGTGAATCAGACCATAGTGATCTGCTGACTTCTAGTATCCCCAGCCCACACCGCATTACATCCTACCACGCAGTTCCAAAGCCCATGTCAGCTGTTCTCCTCAAAGCTTTTGTGCACTTTGCTCTCTGCTAGAACAGTGTCTTCCTGACTCCCTTTTGCACAATTGGTGAACCCTTTAAAGCAAAACTCAGTGGTCCCTTCCACTTGTAAAATGTTCCTGGCCTTGCACCTCAACACGGACATCCTCCTTTGTGCACTTACTATGCCTTCTGCAGATGTACAGCCCTTTATTACTCATACGCATGTTTATGTTTGACCCTATGTAGTTGTAAGGTCCTTGAGGTCTGATTTATTGGCAAGTCCCCAGGGCTTAGAAGAGGGTGAAGCACACAGTACATGCTTGGTAACTGTAGAAGAATGAATGAGTGAATGAATGAATGAACTCACAAATGAGCTTATAAAGCAGCAGTTATCTCTGTGGCTAAAGGTGGCAGCAGCAACTGAGTTGTCTCACAGAAGTTGGGGGGAGGGGAGGGATGGCTCAGAGAGTCGCTGAGATTTCTGCAACTTGTGAGCCTGCTCCCTAAACCCTTATTGCCACTCACACTAAACCCCCTTTCTGAGCTCTCTCTAATGTAGGAGAGCCCCTTAGTGTCTCATGCTTGAATTATCATTTATTTAATTAGGACGGTGGTCTAAAAGCAAGCCCCTCTTCCATCACTCTGCATAGCAATGCCAGGAGTATTCACTCAGCCCACAATTCTACCCCAATCCCCCACATATCTGGAAAACTGGGTCTGAGGAATTTAAGCTCTTCTGGTTTCTAGCCTCAATTTACTTCTCAGTAGTAGTCAACAAAGTGAATTGGCAACACTGGTTCTAGGTATTCCCAGGAGTGAATTCAATTGATGAAATTCCTAGCCCTCGGGGACTTTCTATCCTTGTAGCCTTAGCTACCCCACCTCCCTTCACCATCTTTCTTCACCTGCTCCCCATTACCTGAACATACCTCTCCATTCCCATTCCCTTGCCTTTACATAGGACTGTGTCTTTTCCGCCACTAGAATGTACTACCTGAAGGCAGAAATGGGTTTCTGTCTCCTACTGGGTCTTGTTCAGTGGTCTGCACCGGGAACTCAATGAACACTGACTGAAGCAAGAAAGTTAGTTAGCAGGGAACAGCTTTGTGGGGCTCTTCCTGACCTTGTTAGCTTCATTTTCTATTTCCTAAGATCCCCGCTTCTTTCTGTGCCTCTGTCTGGGTCCTGCCAGCTGAGGCACTTGTGGTGATCTGTCAGTTTAGGATGATGCCCTGCATCAGAGTGCTGGTGATGGGGGAAGGACCCCAGCCTTTAGCTTGTCAGAAGGCAGACATTTTCTTTGAAGCTTGATAGAAGTGGCTAAGTCTTTTTTCCTTAATGATTTCTCCAGAATAGAAACTACATATAAATTTATTATGTACATATATGTATATTTATATTTAGTGTACATAGTATATATAGTTTCTACACACACAACATACACACACTTTGAAATATATTCTAACTAGTTGGGGATTCTTTTTATTTTTGTGAATGACAAGGATGTAGAGCAGAGAGAAAAAATAAAGCAGCAAGAGGACCTCCAAAGAGCTGAATGTCATCTAAGGAACTGCATCACATGTATATATGTGCACATGTATGCACACACATGCACAGGGGCACACAGGCCAGGGAGCCCACAGCATGCACTGCCACTAAAGTTGAGTCACAACATAGGTCTCATGAGCATCATGTCCAGATGGCTTTGCTGGCATAGTCAGACACAACCTGCTCAGAACACACAGATTGCGCAGGTTGTGTCTCCTTCACAGCAGAAGTCATGACCAGCACGGTTTCCTACTATCTGTAGCCATGCATACTGCAATCTGCCAGAGGGGGAGAAAGGGAAGCAGTTCACAGACATCATTATTACTTGCTCAGCAATGTGGAGCCCTCCTCTAAACTGGCTTTCTCGTCTGCCAAACATGGCAGCCAAGATAGCTCCTGCCCTGAGACTGAATCAAGGAAGTGAAGAATTTAAGAAAAAAAGTTAAAATCCTCCTAGACAGCAAGACCCACAGTGTTCTGGGGCTATATCTAATTAACTTAGAGCCTCTGATGTCATCAGCTTCCAAGACTGGCATGGTGCATTTGCAAACACGTTCCAGGAGAGTCAACATGATCTGGTGTTGACACAGGCCCATAACTGTCAGAGGCAGTAATTTTCAATTTATGGATGCCATAAAGCTTTGGCAATATGATTGCTACAATGCATGGTGTGTTTTTGACAATAAGCAGGAGGTGGGGAGTTGGGAGTACTGGCTCCACATTTGGCCATGGACATGGGCTCATGAGGGCAAATCTGTAGTGACTTCTGCTATTGCAAAGGAACTGCAATAGTAGTTCTGACAATGAACTCAAGAATATTACGTGATTCTCTACTAGCAAACTCTAGACTTCTGCATCAGACCAAAGGTCATTATTTATTCAAAAAGCATTGATTACCACATATCATGGGCCAGGCAAGTAGTGCAGAATCAGCACAAAGGAAACACAAGAAATGGAGTGTAAGTTTACCTCCAGAGGACTCAATAAATGTTAGGTCTCCTTGATTCCAAGAACCCTCATAGAGGAACAATGAAGGGAGGGAAAAATAAGGAGGGATAATGAATCCAGCTGTCATCAGCCTTTGCTCCTATCACCTCAGGACTGGAGTGTTCACAGATGCAGGTTTGGGATTGATTCATGTGGGCTGCAACAGAAAAAGTAATTCCTTCATCGTCTGAGGCCCAAAGACAATAATGGGCCTGATTTTTTTTTTTTTTTTTTTTACAAATAGTTTATTGTCAAATTAGTTTCCACATAACACTCAGTGCTCATCCCCACAAGTGTCCTCCTCCATACCCATCCCCCTTCCCCCCCACATCCATCAGTCCTCAGTTTTTGTCAGCATTCAAGAGTCTCTCATGGTTTGCCTCTCTCCCTTTCCCCCACCATTTCCGCCCTTCTTCTCCCCCTTGTTCCTCAGTTAAGTTCCTCCTAATCCTCCTATACGTGCAAACGTATGATATTTGTCCTTCTCTGCCTGACTTATTTCGCTCAGCAAAACACCCTCAAGATCCATCCAATGTTGCTACACATGGCCAGATTTCATTGTTTCTCATTGCCATGTAGTATTCCATGGTATAGATAAACCACATCTTCTTGATCCATTCATCTGTTGATGGACACTTAGACTCTTTCCATGTTTTAGCTATTGTTGAGAGTGCTGCTATGAACATTGGGGTACATGTGCTCCTATGCATCAGCATTTCTGTATCCCTTGGGTAAATTCCTAGCAGTGCTATTGCCGGGTCATAGGGGAGTTCTATTGTTAGTTTCCTTAGGAACCTCCATACTGTTTTCCAGAGGGGCTGTACCAGTTTACATTCCCACCAACAGTGTAGGAGGGTGCCCGTTTCTCCACATCCTCGCCAGCATCTAGAGTTCTCTGATTTGCTCATTTTAGCCACTCTGACTGGCGTCTGACAGGCGTCCCTGATGAGGAGGGATGCTGAGCATCGTTTCATGTGTCTGTTGGCCATCTGGATGCTCTCTTTGGAGAAGTGTCTGTTCATATCTTCTGATAATGGGCCTGATTATTGACCAAAATAAAATATAACCAAAAATATTCATCATTTATTGTCACTGATAGACCAAGGCCAACACTTGGAGGTCCTCAGAGGCTAGGGTTTGAAAGCCCAGGCAATGTGATTCCAAGCTGGTATAGAAGAGTATCTCTGTTTTTTGCATGCATGTATGCATGTGCACATGTGTGCATATTCCTATGGGACAGTCTGAATCTCTCCAAATAGATCTCTATGGTTCTCCAAAGCAGAGGTAGCCATGTCATTGAGACCTATGCAATCAGCAAACACTTTCTAAACACCTAAAGGGTGCCAAGCTGAAACAGAGGGGCTAAAGGGCAAACTGTGTGGCTCTCAGAAGTTAGTGTACATCTGCTTAAGAATAGAGAGGAGAGAACTTACTTAGATTCATATTCAGACACTCATTTTCAGGCTATTCCAAGCAGGAAAGGCTTTTATCTTTAACAAAAAAAAGAACAAGAATAAATGTTACCACTATCTATCAGAATGGCTAAAATCCAAAACAATGGCAATACCAAGTGCTGCCGAGGCAGTGGAGCAGCAGGAATTCTCATAAACTGCTTGTAGGAGTGCAAAATGGTACAGCCACTCTGGAAGATGGTTTCTTATAAAATTAACCATACTCTTACTATACATTCTGGCAATCATGCTCCCTGATATTTACCCAGAGGAGTCGAAAATTTATGTCCACACAAAAACCTGCCCACTGATGTTTTTAAGGCAGCTTTATTCATAATTGCCAAAATGCAGAAGCAACCAAGATGTCCTTCAGTAGATGAATGGATAAATAAACTGTGGTACATCCAGGCAAGAGAAATATTATTTAGCAGTAAAAGGAAATGAGCTATCAAGACATAAAAATGGCATGGAAGAAACTTAAACTCATATTACTAAGTGAAAGAAGCCAATCTGAAAAGGCTACATGTTATATGATTCCAACTATATGACATTCTGTAAAAGGTAAAATTATGGGGGCGGTAAAAAGATCATTGGCTGCCAAGGTCTAAGGGGAAGGGATGGATGAATATGTGGAGCACAAGAGATTTTTAGAGCAGTGAAATTATTTTGTATAACACTATAATGGTGGATACATGTCTTTTTCATTTGTCAAAAGCCATAGAAGGTACAATACCTTCTAATGTAATGTATCTTCTAATTCTAATGTAAACTACAGGCTTTGACTGATAACAGTATGTCAGTGTTGGTTCGATGACTGTAACAAATGTACCATTCTGCTGGGAGATGTTTATGGTGGGGAAGGTTGGCAATGGGCAGGGAAGGGAGTATATAGAGAACTCTCTATACTTTCTATTCAATTTTGCTCAATTTTTGTGAAGCTAAAACTCTAAAGAATAAAGCCACAAACAAATGAATAAATAACAGAAAATGGCATTCCAGTCTGTGGAAGAAAGGAGTGGATATGACGGCTGTTTCTCAGCTAAAGCCCTCAGCAGATTTCTTGGGTTCTTTTTGACATGGAAATATTGCACATTTTTAAAGTTTTTTTATTTTGAGAGAGAGAGAGAGAGCAAGTGAGCATGAGCAGGGAGGAGTAGGGAGAGAGGGAGAGAGAAAATCTCAAGCAGGTTCCGTGCTGTCAGCACAGAGCCTGATCCGTGGCTTGAACCTACAAACTGTGAGATCATGACCTGAGCTGAAATCACGAGTCGAACGCTTAACTAACTGAGCCACCCAGGCACCCTAGAAATATTCCGTATGTACACAGCCATATTTAAAACTGGGACAGTGGCTCCAATGAACTTATATTCAGCCCTAGGAGTTTGGGCCACTGCTTCCAACCCAGTAGCCAGATGAAATCTACACAGGGGAACTGATGCAGACAAGAGCTCCCCATGTTCCACTGCCACGAAGCCTTATGTCGAAGAGTAAGAATGCTTTTGACGCCTGGGTAGCTCAGTCAGTTAGATGTTGGACTCTTGATTTTGCTTCAGGTCATGATCTCACCGTCCTGAGATTGAGCCCTGTGTCGGGCTCCGTACTGAGTGTAGAGTCTGCTTGGGATTCTCTCTCTCCCTTTCCCCTCCCCTGCTTATGCTTACACTCCTGCTCTCTCTCAAAATAAATAAATAAACATTTTTTAAAAATTTTAGAAAAGAGAGTAAGAATGGTTGAGCAGGCACAGTAACATGGCTGTGATATAGTAAGTGAAAAAAAAGTACTATGCAAAAGAGCGTAAATGGGATGGTCCCAATTCTATTTGATCTTAGACAAAAGACATACCAGTTGTTAACAGTAGTTGTCTCAGGATGACAAGCTAATGTGTGATTTTTATGTTCTGCTTTATGCATCTGTACATTCTAAATTTTCTGTAATAGAGATGTATTATTTTTAAATCAAAGACATAAGAGAATGATCATCCATCAACAGAGTTGCCATTGAAGGTCTGGGTTTATCAAGTTGAAAAATGACCAGCTGGTAAACCTCCCTAACATCTGACGCAGAGTGAGCTTCTGAAGAAGGACTGAAGAAGGACATTTGGGTTAAAATTAAAACTGTGCACATGATAAAACCATATGTGTTGTTTTTAAGTCAACCACTTGGGCCCTAGCAGTAAGGATCTGTTCAGTTCTTGTCCACTCCCAGGAGAAGAGAATCAAAAGAGAACAAGTATTTGAACATGGCAGGTTTTCCCATCAAGGCTCAACCTCTTCATGCATGGAAAGCAAAGGCTCTTTCCAAAGCTGTAAAGGGCAAGCATGATAGTGTCTGAAGCCCTAAAACAGATATAAATAAGACAACTAGAGTCATGGGCCTGAGGGTTCACATCTTAATAGGTTGTGAGTAGGGAGGTGGGAGGAGGAGACAGAAATTAAATAAACCTGAACCACAGCCAGGAATCAAACCCAACACCTTTTACTTGATGTGATGGCTCTTCCAGGAGCCTGTTAACACCTCATAACTTCACTGACACCCACAAAAGAGACCCTTCCACAGCGGGAACAGAGGACAATCCACACACCCAGAAATGATCACAGTTTCTGGAGCAGAACAGACAATTCTTCCCAGAAAGGCTCAGCAGTGAAGAAGTAAAAGAATATAGGGACATTTTTTAAATGTCCCTCAACATTCCTGGGTGTGATTTGTTCATTCAAATCCTGGGAATGCACATTTTTGTATTTCAGTGAAGGGCTCCTGTTTGATGTGTGAGATAGTGGGCATCAAAATCCCATCTAGGAAGCTAGATGAGAACCTGAGGAGGGGCCTGGAAGTCCTACCAAAGGCTGTTGGGCCACTGAGGTGCTGTCACCTTGGGTACCTTTAACATGATAGGAAACATACTGAATCAAGGTCACTGCAGAGGTCAGGGGCTCAGCTGAAGATCAAATCTGCAAAGTCAAGCAGGTGTCGTTCCAAATATCCTGGGTCTTACAAAAAAATTAGAGCTGAAAAATTCTCAGAAATCTTACGAATTGACAGATATCTCATTAGAGGTTAGAGAAGTAGGAATAGGACTAAGTATGTGTTATTAAACATTAAATGGCCTTTCTAGATTCTTCTGGTGTATGAAAAACATTGATATTCACATCTCCTTTATCTTTCACAACAAAGCTATATGATAAGTAATATTGTCACTACCATTTTATATGAAGAAACTGAGCCTCAGGGAAAATGCCTTGCCCAAGATGGTAAGCTAGTAAATAAAAGAGCTGGGATTTGACCCCAGATCTTCTCACTCAGCACTCTGTCTACACTGCCTACCCTAGGGCAGCTGGCAGAGTACTACAGAGGAACTTCCAAGCAGGACCTGGAATGGGAGCCTGGTCGATCTGAGAGCCTTTCCAGGACAGGGATCATGTACTATTTACTTCTGTCTCAGGGTTGGTGTATGGAAGACTGTCATCACATATGGATGGTGATGGAGGAAGAGGAGTCAGGAAGATTTGAGGCACCCAGTGGGACCCAGTGCCAGCTCAGAGACCGATGGTTTGGGGCAATTCAATGTCTCATGATGGGTTCCATTAGAAGGGAGAGCAATGAAACTTCTTAGAGCATCTCCAAAATAGATGTGGTATAGTGACTACAGCTCTGGGCATCTGTGAACCTCCCTCACTGATCTCTGCAGACTTTCAGAAACAATTTTTGGGCCACTTCTAAGGTTCAATCTTTCAGCTACTGAAGATGAAGCAGGTGACATTTAAATTATTTTTGTGTTTAAAGATAAGATCATACCTGTTTTTGAACTTATCAATCTAGAGTGGATATCTTTCTAAGTCACTAAATATATAGATCTATATCACCATAGTTAATAGTTGTATCGTTCTCCACACGTACAAGAAAGAACACAATAATTTATTTAACCGACACTCCATTGATGGTCATTTATGTTACTTCCCATTTTTTGCTACTATAACCATGCTGCTGTGAACATCCTTGCAAAGACAGTTTCTGAACTTTAAATAAAGAGGATTGGAAAAAGAGAAAAGAGAAAGAGAAAGAGAAAAGGTGATTTTCAGCCTGAAGAGGAAGATTATGTGCTTCATGGCACATCTGGAATTTGAGCTGACTTAGTGGTCAGATAGAAATTATGAGGTAAGGATGGGGGAAAAGGCAATCCAAGTAGTCGACTGACCTAGAGCAAAGGCAGAGAGCTGGAAAAGCATGGGGTGTGCATGGAGAAAGAGAATATTGTACAATGAGATTACAGCACAGAATGGATGAAACAGAGGGGCTGGAAATAAGATTCCTAGGTAGGTTTGGACAAGACTGGGGAGGGCATCAACATGAACAATGGTTTCATATTGACCCATTCATGTTAGATATCCTTCTAGGCCTTAGTGCTCAATGGGTAACTCAAAGTCAATTCTCCTGTTAATGGTAATAAAGGAAAAAGAATGCCCTTGATTCCAGACTGAAACATTGGAAAAGAAATTCACAGAATCAGAAGTTCAGTGAAATATGCATGAAATCACTTAACATGCAGTAACTGTTCAACAAGAGATAATTATTAGTATGCACAACCACAAGAGGTCATTTTGAAATTCTAGGATTCTGCAGTTAGGAACTTCGCTTTTGTCATGTTGACTTTGCTCTCTTTGCATTTGTGTTTTTAGTTCCCAATAAAGTTGCATGGGGAGAAGCAAGCTTGATTCAAGGAGAGAAAAGGAGAAAACCCACACATCCAGGAAGCTACTGGAACTAGTTTTCAGATTGCTCTTTCTCTTTAGTATTCAAATCCCTACTATCTGATCATCAAATTCATTGCAGTGTAAACGGGCCTATGATTTTTTTTCTGTGTTTGGAGTTTATATTAGAAATTAAGATTTACTGCACCTGCAGACCATTTTTAGCCTTTTTATGAAAAAAGTGGAGGCAATAGAGACCCACTTGTCCAATGTGTCATTTTAAACACGGTGGGCAAAGCGGAGGGTGGCAGCTTTATTTATCACCACACGCTCGCTGGAGTGCTGGTAAATGGA